ATGTAAAATGTTGCTTCCACTTCACAATTGTATACCACTTTGTGTTGGTCTTTCACATTAAATTCCAGTGAAATATATTTATGTTTGTGMTTGTAATGTGACAAAATATGGAAAAGTTCAAGGGGTATGAATACTTTTGCAAACCACTGTATAAACTGAAAATTGAAACAGGGAGTGCATCCTAAATGTTTTGGGGAGGTATGGTGTGGGCACTGACATAATGCTTGTTTTTGTTCTGGAAAGTATTATACTGTACAGGATCACAGCCTGGTTTGGTCATTTAACTGTCCAACTCAGGAAAAAGCCTGTCGATATTCATAAAACAGCCGTGAAAATAATTGGCTTAAAATATTAGAATCCATACAGACCATATATGAACAAGCAGTAATAAGAACAGCAAAAATCTTATCCCAACATAAACAGCCATTATTCTCTGAATATGAAATCTTAAACTGTCTTTTGTTCCAGCTTCAATCAGAATGTTGAACTCCAGCAACAATGTTCTTTCTGTGACACATTAGCACTTTATACTTTTGTACCCTCTACTTGCTGTGTTGTTGATTGATGTTGTTTTTGAGCTAGAGGTTTTTTTTTTCTCATTGTGGGTTGTTTTTAACATTATTTACAATTGTGTTGCACTTGCCCAAGACAAATTTCCCATAGGGGACAATAAAGTATATTCTATTCTATTCATGTCCAAATAAATGTCATTTTGGAAATTCTAACCTTTCACTTTTATTAAATACTTTTACTTTTAATGCTTGCGTACATTTTATTTCAGAAATTTACTTTGATACTTAAGTATAGTAAATGTGCAATAATGTAAGATTTTTATTCAAGTAATATTCCGAAAGGAGACTTTAACTTTCACCAAAAGTAATTTWGTGATAGGATACTTGTTCTAAGTATCACTAAGTGTAACGCTGTTTGCTTTCAGTGCCATCACTCTGGACAACACCCTGGTCATCCTGTCCACAGTCGCCCCGGATGCGGGGCGTTACTACGCCCAAGCGGTCAACGACAAGAATGGGGAGAACAAAACCAGCCAGCCAGTCACTCTCACAGTGGAGAGTAAGTACACATAAAAAATAAAAATAAAAAAATCCCACAAACTTACAGCTGCATTTGAGTAACAGAAGTCCTCACCCACACTGTGGGACTCAGTTAACCAGCAGATTGTTTGTGTCACCAGCAGACAACAACAACAAACAAGCAAAATGTCATTTTAAAACAGTGGTTTTTTTTTTGAAAATGCATCTCAGTTCAACCTGGACAAAGCATCCATACAACAGGTGGCTCTGCTGCAGACAATAGGAGCAGAAATAGCTCCCTCTGTTGGTTGTATTCATCCTTTTCAAAAGAAAACCACAACTACCTGCAGCAGAAAAGTTGACTTCCTGTTCTGAAATTTCTCTTCTAATCACTAATCTCCAGCTGCAAGTTTGAGGTCGTCTCGAGTCATGGGTTGTCTAAAGCATTGGTTCCAAAAGTTGYGYTCGGGACCC